GCATTCCATGACGAATCTATTTGTGAAACGTATGGTAACAGTATGGCTGGTCAGGATGAAGATAAAGACGCTAAACCCTGCCTGTTGGGTAGTGGTCAGAATGAGGCAAAATGTGAACCAAAAAAAAAGAAAAAGGCTAATCTGAAGCATCCAGAGGGTAAAGATTCTGCCAGCCTGCCAAGTTTAGATCAAATCACCACAACTGCTAAAAAAGAAAAGAAAAGGGGACGAGCAAATTTGGGAAAATTGAAGACTAAATCCCTTTCTGGGCTATCAGATGTGAATATAAGCATTTCCGCTGATAACTTTTTGGTGCAAGATTCCTTGGATATAAGTCCTCTCATGCCTTGTGGTAAACCTAAGCAAAAGAAAAGCAAGATCGAGGAACGAGCAAGTCCAGTGTGTCTGCAGACTAAACAAACCACTGGCATACCAGATTTGAATGGGAACAATCTTGTACCTAGCCTACTCGTTGATGATCAACAGGCTATTGGCCATGCTGCTTCTGAAGGTAAAGTTGATTTAGAAAAGGGGTTAGGGAATGAAACTGCTTCAGAGCCTTCAAAGCCTAATATCATTGCTGGCTTTGTAGATGCAAATGGAAACAATGTGAAACCTGGTACCTTGGTGGTAGATTTGCGGATTTCTCCTCAAGCTTTGTCATGCCTAGACTCTAAACAGGTCACCGGCCTGCTATCAACTGAAAGTAGGCCTGTACAGAAAAAGAGAAAGAGAAAGGAGAAAGCAGAAGCAAAGCATCCAGCTGATGGTATTCCAGATTTGAATGGAAATAGCGCTGATTGCAACTCATTGGGAAAGGAATTCCAGGAGTCCAATGGCCTTGCACCTCCAATTAAACCTGAGAGGAAGAAGAGGAGGAGAAAAGGAGAAGCTACTACTATACAGAGGAAACTGGATATGAATCATGGTAAAGCACAGATTACTGAAAAGGCTCTAGGGACTGCTCTTCTGTTGACCTTTTCCCCAGGAGTACCAATGCCTTCAAAAGATGATTTAATTTCAACATTTTGTCGGTTCGGGCCCTTGAAGGAATCAGAGACACAGTTGTTAAAAGATCCTGGTTCTGCCCAGGTCGTATTCATGGAAAATGCTGATGCTGGAGAAGCATTTCGGAGTTTAGAGAAGAACAACCCTTTTGGTGCAAACCTTGATAGTTACAAGCTGTTTCATCTTCCATCTGTGTCCAGGGTTTTAGAAACAGGCTGGTCTCTACCTACAAGTCTTTCCTCTCCAACTATGCCTGGAAAGGCACCTCGCCTTGACTTCATAAGGCAGAATCTTCAGATGATGACATCAATGCTAGAGACGTCGGGAGATAATCTTTCTCCAGAGATGAGAGCCAACCTAGAGTGTGAAATTAAATCCCTCCTGCAGAAGGTGAGCTCCATGACTGGTTCTTCCTCTTCTTAGTTTGGACTGCAGGTTATGTAGTTTTTATATGGGTTGTCTGTAAATGTAGCGACTGGCTCCTTGGGCATGCTCTGTAGGTGGTGTTATGTTAGAATTGGAACCTCTGTAATTTATTGCATGAGAGGGCATAGGCAAATGACCTATTGCATTGGAACGTCTATGTATCTCTAGCAACTCCGTTTTTCTTTATTTACATATTCTCTCTCTCTCTCTCTCTCTCACACACACACACACACACACACACAATTCGTTATATCCGGATGCTTTATGGTATAAGTTTACTAAGATGGATTTGAGTCTAAAATGACACCCCAACTGTTGGTTGCTTTACTCACGCACAAAAGATCTTCGTTTGTAACTGCATGTTTGATTGTGTTTAAGGTTCTAGGTTATTTTGACCCCCCCAAAAAAAAGGCTCTAGTTGATGTTTAAGCTACATAACAATAAAGGAACGACCAAAACAAAAACAATAAAGGAAAGAATGATGCGTTTTCAGGTAGAATGCCTTCCCACACCGGACATGAAAGTAGCCAAGCAGTGTTTCAAAGACCAATAACTATGTAAGACAAATCTCCATAGCAGTCACTGTTGCCGCATGGCCAGTCATTCTCAATGCCTCTTATGCCCTGTTTGGTAGTTGGCGACTCATTTTTATACGACTTTCGACTCTATTAACAAGAGAGGATCAGCAATCAAACATCCTGCACTGAATTGGGATGTTCCAATCCATATACAGGTCATGCAAGTCTTTCGGTGTTTGAGCTTATTTCCAATGCCTCTAAAGTCGCCAGAGAAATTGATTTTTAAGTGACAATACAAAACTTGACGCCTCAACTGGAAGTTTTTAGTTCAAAACAAGTCTTGCAGAACAAATCAAACACAATTATTTCTTCATATCTATTCTGAAAATTGCTAAATTCTAATGCTAATGGTTATCCATCCAAAATACAAAATCCATATTTCGGAAATTGCAAAGAACTTCCAAGATCATGAAAACCTGTTTGAACAGAAAACAGCAATGCAAATCAATTCAGCAACGCAACACAACGAACAATGTGAAACAACTCCAGAATGCTACTACTCCATAACAGCAACTCCTCCAGCAGCCTTTATTTTCTCAATTATGTCATTTGCTTCCTCTTTGGTAACCCCTTGTTTAAGGACACAGGGTACCTTTTCAACGAGATCTTTAGCCTCCTTTAATCCCAGACTGGTAAAGGTCCTGACTTCCTTGATTACCTTGATCTTTGCAGCTGTATCAAACTTCTCCAATTTCACATCAAACGCTGTTTTTTCCACCTTCTTCTCCTCAGCCTTTGACGCACCAGCTGGCCCTCCCTGTGAACCCAAGTCCAAGCCTTCTGTTGATATGGGCTGCAACTTGGGAAGCCTTAGCCTCTCACCAAGAGTAGGACCAAGTTGGCAGCGTTCTTCAGGGGCCAGTGCTGCAATTCGCTCGGCGAGCTGAATGATTTTATCTGAGGGTGGTGGTCTAGGGCCATATGGATCATAGAATGCCGGATATTTGTATTTTTTGGGCTTGGCATCGGGATCCCTCGGAGCAAAATCAGGTTGGAAGCAACGAAACTGCAAAGGACCAGTTGTTTCAGGGAGAGTGGGTCGGGCACGAAAAGATCTGGCAAGTGCAATGAGCCTCATGGTTCTTTTCGGTCAGTGGAAAAAGTGCCTCATACAACTAAGATAGCAGAGTAAAAGAGAGCTTCCTGTTTATTTAGCACAATTTGAACTGAATGGACAACTTTTGAGAACTCTCTTGCCTGCGATAAAAAAAAGAAGAAACTTCAATTAGCAAAGGGAAGCACATTGCTTCTTCTTTTTTTGTTACTATACTGGTAGCAAGCCACTGACAACATAACTAATGTTTCATCATATATTTTACGAATGCAACATCTGCAGACTGGTCGAGTCTATAACTTCAGAGTAATTCTATATTTAAACTTACAGATGTAACAGAAAAACAATAAGAAAAAAGTAAATTTGATAGAGAATTCAAATGGGAATTTCCACAAACATGTGGTGTGAGAAACAGGATGCAATAACAATGACTCAAAGAAAACAAATAAATTCCCCAGAACAGAAAACTCAACTATCAAATTTTCCAAACTAACCCAATATTAAACTATCCCATTAGCTGAGAAATCTCATTGTAAGCGCTTCTGATACTGAACTGACCCCTTTTGACTACAAACTCCTACGGTGGTTCTGGGTTTCTCATAAAACTCAAAACCCGTTGAAGAAACTCCAAAGCATCTCAATATTAAATAATATAAAACTGGGAAACTCCAAAGCATGTAAAAGATTTAACAAAAACCCATAAGGAAGAAACTCACCGTAGCTTTATAAATGCGAGCAAAAACAGCCGCCAACTGCAAGAGAGCGAAATGAGGCAAAGTGAGCAAAAGCGTAGGAGAAGACTAGGGAAATTGTTCAGGTCGGGTTACAATTTATCCCAAATGAAAATGATCTCTTTTACAGAAAATGGAATTGTCCATTTCGCCCAAAGTTTCTGGGCCAATAGACACAATGGTTTACCCCTTGGCCCAATGTTGGGTCTCAACCCAATTGAGCAACCCGAACTTTTGAAGGCTTAATGATCCTAATCAGTGGGCAACATGTCATATTATCGGGAGCTTCTATAATGAGGGGTTCAATCTAACCATCTAATAATAACTATGCATTGAATCAGACGGGCTATTAAGGACCCCCTCATTCGCCTACTTGCATATTATCTTTTTATATTATTTTTTAAAATTTTGTTGATGCTAAGTACGGAAGGAGTATATTAATTAGCACTTTAGTCTAGTGGTGTTTCTCTTTATGATGTTACAGAGGTTTTGAGTTCGAAATTCCATCCCCATCAATCAAAAGAAGTTAGCTACCCCAATCCCATATGATGAAATGGTCCAAATTTTAGTATATTACTAACTCTCACAAAAATATGTAATGTATTAGTGTCGGATGTTGTATATATATTGCCTCTGCTTTTGTAAAATTATAGCATTGTGAGGGTTTCACGTAACGAAACTTACAAGTGTGCCATGACTGGAAGGTCTTTGTTTGTTCACTTATCCGAATTGAGTATGATTTATGGGGTAGAAAACAACCTACATTTGTTCAGTCAAAAAAAGCTTATCCAAATAAATTAATCTAAAGTTCTTTCCTTTCATTTGAAATTCGTTACCTTTTCCCATCTCGGAGAAGAGGGAAGGGAAGGGGAGACTTTTTGATCTTCTCCTTCCATTTCAATTTTCTCGTACCAACAACCAGAGCCTCATCAGGGGTTACAATGGAGGAGCTCATGGCATGAAAATAAAAAATTTATACTAGTTTTGCTTTCACTGAAAACTTTGCTTTGCTCTCCTTTTATGTCTCAAGCATTCCCCACCACGCAGACAGAGTTTAAAACACTTTATCAACTTACGATAATAACTTTTGACCTCAAAAAGAAAACTTGTGATAATAACTTAATCACAACTCTCCCTCGACCATGCAGACAAACGGCACATAAAGATATAAGACTTAAGCAAGTACTAAATAACACATTAGTCTTTTGGACTAAAAAAAAACACTGCTAGTATATCTTCCTCGGTTTTACAACAAAATCCTGCACCTTTGAATTTGTCTTGCACTCGCAGCCAACGAGAGTACAACAAATTAGAAGAAAGACCAAAAAGAAAGGCAGTACTCATTTTTGGACTCTCCATCTTCCCATTCACACACACACTCTCCTTGTCCTTGTTAGGTCAATAAAGATGAAAGCAAGACCACCTTCATACATACCCAAAAAATTTAAATAAAAAAACACAAAGAAATTAAAACCCTTTTGGTCTCAAAAGGCATACATGCATATACTTAGAGAACTAGTAGTGGTAGTGGTAGTGGTAGTAGTTTGAATCCCTACGCTAAGATGCAGATGATGATTAATTAATTAATTAAAGTCACTAATCACACCTAATTAGATTTTAGACTAATGGGTTTGTGGTGGAGGGGCCATAATTGTTCATCACATTGGTCCATGATCCTAGACCATTGAGGTACCCAAATGACTCCTTTCCATGGTCAGAGCAGCCTTGGTCTTGCCACTCAAGGGACAAGAGCTTAGTGTTTGGCTTCACATCCATTCCATTTTGGTGATGATCCTGATCATGACTTGCTTGATGATCATATGGTAACATCAACCTCTGGCAAGTGTCCATGAAATTACCATTCTGCCCATCAAATGATGACATCCCAAATGGAGAGCAAAGGCCATGATGAAAACTTGACTCACCGCCCATATTATTTGCAAGCCCACCCATCATTCCCAAATCAGCACCGTTCCCCATAAAGTCATAATTCCTAGCATTCCCAACTATGGCTTCCAACTTGCTCTCCATGAAATCAATAGGCCTTGGGTTGTTGTTGTTATTACTCTCAAGCATCCCATTGTACCTGCTGTCCATGAAACTAGGGTTATTATTACTCCCAAGCATCAAGCCATTGAGGTGTGAAAATTGCATCTGATCAGGAAATGAAAGGTGGAGATCAGTTGGGTTGTGAGAAACTGATGAGGATGATGAGCCAGCATTCTGGTTCATCAATGGATTATGAGGCTCATTGGGTTTCTTGGAAGCAACTTTCTTGTTCTTTCTGCAGCCACCACCTACAGGGATGTTCCTGAGGGTGCCTCCTTTGGTCCAGTACCTTCTGCAGGTCTTGCAAAAGTACCTAGGCTGAGAGAGGCTGTAGTTGTTGTAGTAGCAGAACTTGGTGTGGGTAGAGTCACATCTAGGGCACTTGAGGGCTTGGTCATGCTGGGGCCTCAGCCTTCTCTCTATCAAGGGCCGTGAGCAGGTTAACATGTCCCCAGATAATGGTGAGGAAGAGTCCATGGGAGAGTCCTCGTGCATCGTTCCCTGACAGGGAAAGGAATTAGGAGAGATTTTGTCAGAACTATGTACCCCACAACAATATAATTTTACAGGACGACACATTCTTTGTCCTTTCACCACATCTCAATCAATCAAATGTAAAGGCATTTTGGATTGTCCCCAATTTATAAATTTTGGTGCCACAAAAATCCCGGGATTTGTTCCATTGTCTTCCACATATATATATTCAGTGAAATTAGTCTAGATTTTCAACAAAATTGAGAAAATAAAAAATGGGAACTTTTTGAAGTGGTCTATTATTATCATCAAAATGAATTTGATCAAATTTCTCATGGGCATGTTTTGTTAATGAATGTGGTTCTCTCTCATCCATCAACAATGGCATTTTCTATGGCATTAACTACAGCATTATCTAAGATAACCCTAGGAAAAATGTATATTAATTATGCTCAATTATATCTTCTTATTGCATTTAGGGTACGAACACCTGGAATAAAAGCAGTATAAATTAAACCACAAGAAATGGAGTGTTATATATGTATATAAATATCAAGCAGAACGTACCTGTAACCAGTCAGATGAATCCATGCAAACTTGCAGAGAGTTATGGCCCATCAAACAAATTCACCTATAGCTCTTCACTAAAGCCCAGATCAATGAAGCAGACGAAAAAGGAGCAATATTTTTAACCAAAGCTCTTCCTTCACACACACTTCATTTCCTAAGCTCTCTCAGTCTCACTAGAGTAAGAAAACCAGTTTGTTTATAGAACTAGAAAAGGCACTGAGAGAATTAGTGAGGAGATGAAGAGGAGGAGGGTTTTTATTGTGTGGCTTGTTGTTGGGTTGGTGTGGAAGAGTGGAACTATAAGAAGGCAACAAAAAGGCTGAGTGGCAGCTGCTTGCTAAACTACACTCTCTCTCTCTCTCTCTCTGCAAAGGATTTGGCTCACGGCACCGTCGGTGGGCAATATGAGTGGGCCCCCACAATGTCTGCACGAGGCCCAACACTGGCCCCACCCCTTACCTCAGCTTGACTAAAACCCCTCCTCCTCTAACCAACGGCCACGATGCCATCACGGGAGTTTGGGCTACACAACCTGGGCCGTTGATGTTAGTAGTGCACACGTCAGAGATCACGGCGTGGTCGTCACACTTGAACGAGCGTCAGTTTATTATGTGGACATGACAGAAGCTGAGAGAGAGACTGAGAGAGGGTTTGAGTTGAGACTGAGAATATTTGGGTCCTCGATAAAGAAGCATACCGAAAGAGCACTCCACTTGCGGGCCCTTATGTGTGGGGTCCCTTCTCCCTCCTCCTACAAGCAAAGGATATATTCTCCCCCCAACCCTCTAGTCACGTGGCACCCGTTAGTATATAGGCAATGTCTATGTCCCACTGTTTTTATAGACTTACAATCGAGTTCATAATTCAACTTCATATAGAGAGAAGGCTGATTTCAAAACACGCTTGATTTGATATAAAATATGGTTCTCAAAATATATATTGATTGAAATGTTTGATGAGCTAAATTATCGTATGAATGCATGATTTAATGAGAGCTACACTTTTTATCATGTTTATGTTCATTTTGTATAGCTTCATCATCATACACTTCGCAAAGAAGAAAAAATAAGAAATGAGAATCGAACCCAGAACCCATCGTAAAAGAATCTCTAATGCCACATTTTATTAACAACCAATCCTAACATTTTAAGCCATCAATTCATACCAAACTTAAAATTACAACCTCAAATGAAATTAAAAGCTTGGAGGGGTTATGGCTTAGAATTAGAACAAGGAACATTCGAATTATGCTCTCATCATCAGTGAAAAATATAAGTAAACAATGCATGCCATAACTAAGTAATGGAGGATGCTGGATCTTGGTAGCTTGAGGTTAATGGCGTGATGGACACACTGAAAATCATGGGGGCCCAAAGTTCACTTTGTCAGATATGAGTGAATAAAGTGGGGTGTGTGCCCACGTTAATTTCACCCGTACAGAAACCAACTGTTCTATATTCTTATATCTATACATAGGAAAGGACGACGGTGAATCCATCTGATCTGTTTTAGTGTTCTTCTCTCTGCTATGCATCAGATTTCAATGATCAGCTTCCATTTTATCATTTTGCTTTGTTTCTTTTTAATTATTTGTTGGTGTTGAACCAATTAAAGAAACTTTCATAATTACTTTGTGACGAGCTTGCATGCGGGGGTTTTGAAAGTGAGCAATCATTTGTTTGGTGTTGAGCCATATGCATGAAGGACCACGTACCACCGGCTTTTTCCTATGTGTTTTCCGAAAACCTATGAAATTTATCAAAATTAATATGTTTGATCTCTCATAATAATTTAACTTGCTTCAACTTTGATGACCATTATTCATCCATTTATCGACTTTGCAAACCTTAGAGTGCTTAATCACGACCATTGTATAAAAAGCGAGCCAAATTTTATGTGAGGAGAGTGTAATGAACGACTTCATGCATGCATTTTTTAACTTGCAACTGCTTGTTTTTGTAATCGAGTAATTGTGAGAGAAAAACGTATATACTTCTTCCCATAGAGTCTTCTCGCATGTGTATTTGTACTTGAGAGCATTTGTGTCTCACATTGCTTGGATGACGTGCGTAGCTAATATTATGAGTTGTTAGGATAGCTAGTTAAAGATCTAGAGAGTGAGAGAGAGAGAGAGGGGAAAGGTTAAAAACCCTTCATCTACAAGGAAAAACTTGGGGCCATTCTTTTTCAAGACAAAATTGAAGTGCAAAAGTGCATATAAGAAACAAATCTTAGCTCCTACACACTTGTCAACTTTATTTACATTATCCGGTTTCAAAAAATGTTGTTCTTCCTTCATGGAACACGTTGTAGCTAGGGCATTTTAAGAATAAAAAGACCAGTAATTCAGTATTAATTTGGATATATACTACTTTTCCTTCTGCATTGCACATGCCATGCACTACGAGGGCATGTTTTGTATATTCGATAAATCAAGGATCAGACAGATCACTTTAAAAGTGTGTACCTTTAATTCATTAACTTAAAACTAAAAATGGGTTGATGCAAATCTTGAGTTTCAAGCTTCTGAACACCTGTCCCATAATGGCATAATCTCATCTCTTTATGTAACATCTTGCTTTGTCTTCGATCATTTTTTCATTTCTTCTCTTCTCTCACTCAAATAAAAGCTATGGAAAGGACAGTACATAACGCCACAAAGTTTATTCTCAAATTCTTTACATCTTTGCCTCTTCTTTGTTTCTTTTTTCAAATGGAAGAATGTCAATGTGCTTGTTGTTGTTCATCACCCAATACAAAACCACGATCTGGGGTTACAAAATTTGAGTTCAAATTTCAAAATTCCAAAGGCATGGCCTGTGGTCCGTGGATATAACATATGATATGTATCAAATGCCAAATTGTGTCCAAAGCATTCCTAGCCCTTTGATTATCATCATGTTGTGATCGATGATGCGGTGGTCCTATTCATCATGGTGGTCAAACAAGCCAACCTCGTTATGGGTGCAGTCAATCAGGTTCTTTGGGGCCAAAAAAAGGGACCCCACCATGAGTTCTGTCGATCCCAAAGCCTCTTAGGCCATAAGTAGGTTAATGATGCAGGTGTTGGCGCAAAATCCCCAACTTGGTCTTGGGACCATAATATTGATTATAAAAGTTTCATGATGTCACTCTCTTGGTCATCATCTGGGAATTTCGTAGTGGTTCTAAACTTAGAGGTTGAGAGTAAAACTCTCAAAAACTAAAGTAATTAAGACTAACGTGTCTCACTCACGAGAGAGTTATACATGGATGATTGTGTATAATTTGTGGTATTTATATCAAGGAATACATTTTATCTCGAGATTTTGTAATATGCTAAATTAAGAGCTGAGAAATGATATGCGTTTAACAACAAAAGAAAGAGAAATACACATTATTATATATAATTTATAGGTTTTAACAAAAAAAGAGAAATACTGTACACATGTTGTATACAACTTTATGACTTCCAGAGGTATTAGTGAACTAGCATGTTCCGCATCCATTCTCATGCATTTGAAACCAAAACAAGAGAGAGAGAGAAAAAGAAGATTAATTACGTGTGGTATGTGACTAGAACGACCAATAGTCTATGATTATGTGCACTTTCTCTTCAACTAAGAAATCAACGGCATGTATCTATATATATATATATATATATATATATATACACACAAGTCTGCTGCAAGATCACACTGCGGTCAGAGTCTTATGCGCATGCGCGACACTTCCAACGGTGACTGCGGAGCAGCACATAGCAAGCAAACAAAGTCACAAAACTTCTCTTCTTCATGTAACTCTACCAAATTAATTAATTGACCAATCTAGTGGGTCGGTGGACAGGATCTTAAGCCCCAGCCTTTTGTTATTTTTGTTATAATTATTTTTATTTATAAGAAAAAACCCTATTTTAGTTGCTCTTTGTTCTCTAGCTATCTGTCAGCAAGATTGTTGTCTCTGTTATTTCTGCTGGGTCCCAGCATTGTCCAGTGAACCCGACCGAGCGTCCCTTGACTTTGATGTAACCCTAGACATTCTTGCATCGTCTTCTTGTGCATATTTTTGTCCTCTTTTGTTGCTTGTGGCTTGAGGCTTGTGTACGTAGTCAATATTAATTAATTGTTAACTCTTTGAGAATCTTGTGATTAGTGAATCAAACAGCCTTTAGAGGGATTTTGGATTGTTTTGAGTGCGATGCTGCTTGTATTAGTCAATCAAATAGGCTAAGCAACTAAGTGACTTATTTAGTGGATTGACACAATATTTTTACATATGTATAGCATATTGCATGAGGATTATGTTCACATTGTGTCTTATCTTAGATCTTTCACATTGAGAAAAAAGAATATATATAGTCTCTTTTCATTGAGAAATTCTTTAAATTATTTTATTTGAGGGACACTAGTCTTTAGGGTACTTTACTAATTTTTTTTTCAACGATCCAAACCGTCTATTTTTCAAGTCTTCATTCAAAGATCGTCCTTAAAAAAAATAAGACAAACTAAAAATCATCAAGGCATCTAATTGAGACCAATAAAATCAATGAACATGGTGCTTCAAGAAAGTACTTAAATTTCAATAATTTAATTGAATGGCCAAATGATATCGGATTCAAGTGATTTTTGTGTAGATATGATATTTGAATGAATATCTACAAAATAAATGTTTTGGATTAGTGAAATATAAGGTAGAGTGGGTCCTACAAAGATGTCACCTTACCAGCAAACTCGTCTATGCAGAAAAATTGCTCAAAGACAGTACAGTCTCGATCACCATCGGGATCCCAGAGCACCAACACAAAGGAACTCGGCAAGAGAGGAATATAGATTGCAATCAATAGCCCTAGCTGCCTAAAATCAAAACCAACATCGAAGATCCTATAAGGCACAAAAGTTATACTATCCAAGAGATAACAGCAAAGCTAGTGTAGGGAAACCTGTAACCCTAGCCGTCATTCCTCACCGCTACCAACAAGAGCAGAGTAGCCGAACCTGAGTTGACGGCGGAGGAGAGGATAAGACAAAGACATGATTGAAACAAAAGCCCTTTTCTGCATAGATTGGAGTGCGCAGAGAGCGACACCACCACACAGACCAGCAGCCAAATCAAATTGATAACATCAATAGCCGATGTCGAGAAGGGACGCCAAAGACAATCGGAAGCAGAAGCAAACGTGAAGAGCGGAGGGAAGATGGAGCCAGAAAACCTCGTGGCGCCAAACCCTAGGCACCCTAACTTTTAACCATTCCCTGAGGGCACGATGTAGGTGTGGGCTGAACGAGACCACGGGAAGCATCGATAGTCGAAGGTGAGGGTGACAGGATGAGGACGATGGAGCGCTAGGGAGAAGGAAGTGTGATGATGGCAGCGGCCAAAGGGCAAAAGCTACAACCCAACCCCATCGCCAGTCTCTCCTCGCTAGCGAGAGAAAATCCATGTACTTCTATGCTTAATTATTGAATTTCAGTACAATAAAATCAAAAAACTTCTAACATTAAATTATGACATTTGGTATGAAAATAAGTTATGTCATGCATTTTGAGCTATATTACACTAGAGTTTATGGATCATTTAAGGGTGGACTATTCATTTATATATATATATATATATATATATATATATATATATA